AGAAGTCTATTGTTATACATTATCATTTTTTGTCTATGGTATTTCTGCCAAAATGCATAACCTAAATAAAATCTGGGGAGAATGAAGACAAACGTAAATTAAAGATATTTCTGCAAAATAACTGGCTGTACTTCCCCCAAAAGTCAAGTTCCTGAAAGGTAAGACTGAGGTTCAGAGGCCTGAAGACTGAAGCGTTGTGACAGCTAACTACTGCAGGTCCTGGGCCTGAGAGGGGACAAAGGAGTCAGCTTGTTTGTTGTTGTTGTTGTTTTCCTAAAGGACATTTTTAAGACCAACAACAAAATTTGAAAAGGATTTTGTGAATTAGATGGTAGTATTTTCTCCATGTTAATTTCTTGATTTTGATATTAAGAAATTAACATGGAGAAAATACTACCATCTAATATATAACTGTGGCTATATATAAAGTCCTTGTTTTTAGGACGTAAACACAAGTATTTAGGGGTCACAGGGCACACTGTCTTCAACCTACTTAAACGAATGGATGCTTGGGGAGATGGGTGGATAAATAGATGGGTGGATGGATGGAAAGGTGGATGGATGAATGAGTGGGTGGGTGGGCAGATGAGGAAGAAAACAGAACGATCAGGCAAATGAGCTGAAATGTAAACCCATGGGAACCTAGGTGAAGGATACTCCCGAGTTCAATGTACTGTTCTTGTAACTCTATAATTTGCAATTATTTCAAAATGTAAAGTTAACAAATGAACGTTAAGAATTATAAACACTTCAAAAGAAATAAAAATGTTGGCGCTGGGAACTTCTTCCATGAAGACTTGAGCATGCCCCTGCTGGCTCACCCGTGTGGAAGGGCCCAGGCTACGGAGGCAGGAAGTCTGAGTGCACCCTTCCCCAGCGTTGTCCCTCCATGTCCCAGGCTAACTCACTGCGCAAGGACTGCCTTTCTGGAAGGGCATGTCCATACCACCCATGACTGCCGCAAATCTTTGGTTTTCAGAGATCAGATTATTTGAGTTTATTTGTAAGAAAAAGTAGTCAGACTTCAAAAAAGTAGAAGAGTGCGTAGCTTTATTTACAATCAGACAGAACCCGTCCTTGGCGCGTTCCGTACGACAGTAGCGTATCAGTAAAAGCACAAGGCCTATTAAAACATAGCCAGTTCTACGCAGTCTGGATATTTCCTGTCATAGAAAAGAAGTATCCTGCCCACAGATTCACATTAACATACACGGTATATTAACATCAATCTCTGTATCATACACCACAGGGCATGTTTGCAAACAGGGCACCTCCTGCAGCAAACTCACTCTAAGAACAGTATTGTGGGGTGAGGGCGGGGAGGCACATGGGACGCACGTGACGACGACGAAAGGGGTGAGATAACTACATCTCTTACAGCTAAGAGTGTGCAGTGAGGGTCCTGGAGCCACCCTGGGAGCCGCACTCGTAGCCTGTTGTGAAGCAGGGCAGAAAGCCCCCCGGAGACCCCGAAACGGCAGCACCGTGCACTGGCAGCCACCTTACTACAGGTCAAAGCTGGAAAGAAACTGACGCGTACAGCAGTGCATCCAACTAGGGAATACTGTTTTCAGTCCAGAACTGAGGCTACAGGGAGTGTTTTAACGACTTAGACATTTGGCTCTACGGTTCCAAACACACTTGATGTGGTAAGAAATGAATGAGAGCAAGACGCATGGTTGGGAGGTGTGTGTGGTCACCACGAGGACTGACCGGAGGACACATGTGGGTATGTAAGAGCTGGTAAGATTGCTATTTGTTTTTAAAAACCAACCTTATTACTTTCTACACATTCCTCACAGACTAGACTATCCAATGATAGAAACATTTTTAAGAGATTCCAAGCAACAGTCGATGCTGTGTTCACCTATGGACAATATTCTACAAAACAAGAATTCCACGAGAACATTCCGAAGCAGGCCGCTTTGCCTGCGGCTGCAAAGGACCACAGAAGACAGCTCCTCCCGCCTCTGCTTCCCCAGGCTGGCTGCTCTGGGGGCTCAGCTCATGACAGGGGGGCTCCATCACGCCTGTGACGGTCACCGAGGGACCGACAGCAGGAGCAGGAGCGCAACGAAATGATTCCGACCCACCGTCCCTCTGACACCAGGCGCACTGATGCGTGGATGGGTCCAGCGCCTTCTAACCCTCTTCGTGCTGAGGGCAACACGCTCACGCGGACTCCGGCGCGAATCAAGGGTCAGCAGCCGCCTGCCTCTCGATGGCCTGAGCGATCCGTGCTACCACCAGGCCATCAAGGTGAGCGGCGCTCACCAGCACAGCATCGCTCTGTCCCCAAGGTGGGACACGACAACGGGACAAGAACCCCGCATGGGGCCCCGGTCTCCGGGCAGCGAGCTAGGTATTGTTCCGCCGGAGCGGGGTGGCGGGGCTCTGGGTCCCCTGGAACTTGAGGCTCTGCAGGTTGACGTGGGCCCCGTGTCTGAGCAGCGTCTCCACCGTCTTGGCGTGCCGGCCGTGGGCGGCCAGGTGCAGCGCGCTGAGCCCCTGCTCATCCGACAGGTCGAGCACGTCGGCGCCGACCAGCTCCTCCACCACGTCGGCGTGCCCGCCCGCGGCGGCCAGGTGCAGCGCCGTCTGGTTGCGGGGCCCCCGGGCCAGCACGTCGGCCCGCTCCTCCAGCAGCAGCTTCACGGTGGCCAGGTGCCCGCCGCGGGCGGCCAGGTGCAGGGCGGTGAAGCCCTCCGCCGTCAGCGCCTCCCTGCCGGCGCCGCGGTGCAGCAGCAGCCGGGCGGTGCTCGTGTGGCCCGTCTCCGCGGCCACGTGCAGGGGCGTCCGCGCGAGCAGGCTGCGCACGCCCACGTCGGCGTGCAGGTCGATGAGGACGCGCGCCACGCGGTAGTGCCCGCGCTGCGCGGCCAGGTGCAGCGGCGTCCTGCCGTCCAGCGTCTGCGCGTTCACGCTCACGCCCGGCTGCTTGGCCAGCAGCTTGACGATGGGCAGGTGGCCCTGCCAGGCGGCGTAGTGCAGCGGCAGCCAGGCGTCCTTGCCGGGCAGGCCCACGTCGACGCCGCGGCGCAGCAGGATGCGCACGACGCTCTCCTGCCCGTGTTGGCAGGCCACGTGCACGGGCGCGCGGCCCTCGAAGTCCACGGCGTCCACGCACGCGTGCTTCTCCAGCAGCAGCCGCGTGCTGCACTCGTCCCCGTTCTGGGCCGCGAAGTGGAGGGCGGTCCACTGGTCCTCGTCCGTGGCGTTGACGTTGATCTTGCGCGCCAGCAGGAGCTCCACCACGCCGCGCACCCGCTTCTCCACGGCCACGTGGAGCGGCGTGGAGCCCTTCCGGTTGGTCAGGTTGGGGTTGGCGTTGTTGAGGAGGAGCCACTTGACGCACTCCTCCTGCCCGGCCTCCGCGGCCAGGTGCAGCAGGCTGGCGCCGCCGTCCAGGACCAGGTCCACGTCCTGGGGCTGCAGGATCTTCATGAGGCGGCTGGTGTCCCCGTTCACCACGGCGTCCACCAGCTTCTTCTTCTGGACGTCTGTGGTGCCGAGATCTGTGGGGAACAGCAGACGCAAGGGTCAGCCGAGGCGGCCGGCCCACAGGCTTCTCCCGAGGCCAGGCCGGGGTCCTGGGCTGGCCCACACCTCCCCCGCCATGGCCTCCAGGTGGCTTCGCTATCTGAACGCTTATATGTGGTGGTGTCCTTGCTGATTTCATTTTCGATTTAGTGCGGAGACCCTAGGCCGGTCAGTTAAGTGTCTCCAAGGGGCTCTTCTGTCAACTTGCAAAATAAAAATCCTTCTAGCCGTCCTGTAGAGTCATGATTAGATAAAAGATGTGAAACTCAGACCCCCGCTTGCTGGGGGTCAGAAACGGCAGTGACGGCTAACAGGAAGGAGGGCAGGCGGGAAAGCACGTGCCAGCAGGAGCCCCCACCCCAGGGACGCCCCTCCAGGGCCTGTCGGCCTGCTCCCAGTGCAACCTCTGAGTGGCATCTTGTGTCCCTAAGATAACTGTGAAAGGACTCGGTCTTCATGACAGAGGTCCCGCTTAACGTAAAAGCCCCACTACATTATCTGGAGCTCCGACGCGCACCACACACGACTCCTCATGAGGAACATGCTCAAGGGCACCACACAGGAGGGCAAAGAAACAGGTCCGCAGTCTGTACTTGGTGTTTTAACCCTGAGCTCTGGGGGTACCAGGAACCTCCTCCCTGAGCATGGAGACAGAGCCATTGGAGAGCATCGGACCGAGAGCATTCTCCCTGGGAAACAGGTCTCTCTTTCCTTTTTAACTTCACCACCACTGCGCACCTGCGGCCAGGCTGCTGAGCCGGGCCCTCCCCCAACTCTGCGTCTTTGTAAGTCATTTTCTCAACCCCAAATGCCCTCTTTTGCCCCAAATATTCCACTCTAAAAATCCCAGGAGGCCCACAGCACCCAGGAAAAGTCCTCCCTTCCAGGAAGAATTACCCAATCTATCAGGAAAAGTGCACACACACACACACACACACACACACACACACACACACACACACGGGGTCGACCCGCTGGCACAGGTGGCAGCGAGGAACCTTCAGGAAGCACCACACCCAGCAAACAGCACCTGGGACAGGGGCAGGGGAAGCACTTTCAAAAACAAAAAGCCCATCAAAATTAACATCGAAAGATCAGGTGAGCTGAGAAGGCTCCCTCCAATAGGCAGGGCGTTAGAGCTTCCACGGAGCCTGCAAGTGAGGAAGTATGGGGGTATTTACCCAGCACCGACAAAGGGGTGCAGGGCTGGCCTCTATAAGAGAGTGTGGGGTTTGACTCATCCCCTGGGCTCACTTGGGTTTTCCATCCTGCAAACCTGAGGTCAGACCCTGCACCGGCGTTGGTGCGGCGAGACCCTTCGGCACAGGCAGGTTCGTAGCTGTTAACATTTAGTGTCACCTGCTCGGCCAGCACACATCTCTGGATTTGGGCTCAGCGAACCAGCCATGCCACTGATACCCAAGACCAGTTAGTGAAGCGATGGAGAAAACAAAGCATTACGGTCAGGTCAAGAACCTGGATGCCTCATTCTTTCCTTCACTTGCTCATAGACGTCACCACACCCTGCCTGCCGCCAGCCCCGTAATCACGCCCACTGCTTCCCAGGGCGCGGGGACCTCCACTCACCGCCCGTTGAAGGCTCCCGCTCGAAAGACAGGGACAGCGACCCCCTGGAGGAGAAGGCAGAATCGACCGAGGACACCCCCGACAGCCTCTTGTCGCTGTTGGCTGATGGTAGCTTGGATTCGGAGGAGCTGCGGCTGAGCTCATCGGGGCCCTCGAGCGTCTGGGAGATGCCCGAGTCCAGCTGGGACAGCAGCTCGGAAAGGCTGTAGTCCTTATCGAGGGTTGGGGCTGAGGCTCGCTTGAGGGGCGTGGACACAGGTGCCTGCAAAGACAGGCAGAGGGGGGTGGATGAGGCTCCAGCCAGACACACAGGGAGGATGGAGGGAAAGGAACACGTGGGCCCTAGTCCTCGGGCGGAAAGACTGACTTGATAAAACACAAAGTTCGGCAGCATGCGGCCCCCCCCACTGCAGCATAGCTCGCAGCATTACCCGGAAGAAGGCGGAATGTGGACAGGCCGCGGAAGTGTGAAACGCAGTGCTGGGCCAAGTCCCCAGAACAGGTAGGCATGGTAAGAAACAAAGGGCGGAGGGGACACTGCGGCTGGGGGCCCGCCCCCACTGCCTACAACGTGCAGCCCCTCCTCGGAGCTGTGCAAGCCTGGCTCGGAGCTGCGTGTGGGCAACAGAAGCAGGTGGGCACAGCTATAGGGACAGCACTGTGACCCAGTCCTTGAGAGGCCTCCCCTGACAGGCAGCGAGGAAGGCAGCTGTCTGGTGAGTGATGCGAGTCTGAGGGTGACTCAGGCCTCTTCCCGATTCACGCCCACCTGACCCCAAATCCCCCCTCTTCTCAGGAACTGCTGATGGGCTCTGATTGGTGCTTTGGTGCAATGAGTCACACCCACTTGGTGGGTACCTTTCTTTTCCGTATGGGGGCTAGTTCATCTCCCCAGGCACCTTTGCTCCCTGGCCTCATGGACACGCCCTTCTATTCAGACAGTGGGAGCTCCAGAAATGTGCACTTATCTCTCAGCCTCACAGCAACGGCGGGGGTGAGCGGCCCAACACCAGATAACACATTATAAAGTGAGTTATCAGGCTTCACTTTACAAGTCTTATTACCGTAAAGGGATTCAGTTAGCCCTGGCATTTGGAGTTTCTTATCACACCTTACATAACCCATGTGGCACTCACTGAACAAATCATTTATGAGACGATCCCCAAGCCAGGAATGCAAAGACCCTCCCAGAGCCCAGGTCCCCTCCCCCAACTGGACCCAGCAGGGGCCTTCCGCTCCCCCGGCTCGAAGAGCATCCACCTGGTGGCTTTTTCTCGTCCCCCATGGGCGCGCACTGTTCATTCATAACCACAGACAGGAGGTGGGGACAGGGCGCACCCTCCCACCGAGCACGGGGCTCCCACGGCTGACTGGTGCGGGACGTGGCTCAGAGGGCAGGCTGGGGGATATGGGGGGATGAGGGGCCCAGACTGGCGAAGAGTTTGCAGAAAGGAGGCCTCAGGTTGGGAAACTCAAGCCCAGCACAGCACAAAGGGGTCCCCGGGCCCCGTACCTCGCTCTTGGGCTCTGGGCAGTCTTTCACATCAAGGTCCTGTGTTGTCTCTTTCACCTCGTCGTCGGGTTTATCACACAGGTCCTCAGTCTCAGAAGTAATTTCTTTTGGGGAGAAAACAAAGGGCATGTCACTTGGACAATGACTTCTGCAGACACTCTCCTTAAATGTGCCATTTGGGTGGGGACAGAAGAGGTGACACCCTGAAGTGTCGACATCTCGAGGACTTGGTCAGTACTGCGATTTCCCACTCTGGCGAATGGAGCTCACAGGTGACCCCCGGGGCCTCCCGTCAGCAACCATTTGCAAGGTCTTGCCAGATTCAGGTAGAAACCATGGGGTTTGTTTCCCAAAGAAGTCTTCCTCTGGGGGAGCCCCGAGGGCATACCCGCCAGAGTGTGTACCCCCGATGGTCAGGGCTCCCAGCACCGGCACGGGAGGCCCCCACCTCATCCATGTTGCCCCCTGTTTTAAATGCAGTGATCAGTTTCAATTCCATCAGGATCACTCTCCAAACCAAATGATATACCAGGTCCCTGGGGATGAGACCCCAAGAAAAGTACAAAGAAGGCCTCAGGCCAGCGGTCACACCAGTCCCTCAAAGATGCATAGCTGTGTGTGAACCTGAGACACCAAGTCCAGGCGCCTCAGGGCATCAAGCCCAGCCCTGGGCTGGAGCCGCCGGCTGGAGTTGACCTTGAAGTTCCAGCCGCCCACGTGGGCCCTGTGTGCAACAGCCACAGGCAGGCAAGGTGGCCAAGCCATTCCCGCCGGGCTCGCCTGTCTCTGCATAGCCTTCCCCACCAGGGCCTGCTCCCCAGCCCTGCCCTGGTCATCTCCTCTGCTCTCTCCTGTGACACCAGCAGATGGGCCACGTGGCGACGTTCGGAAGCCCCGAGCTGGGAGCCGTCTCCAGGCACTCCACCTTGGAAGGTGGGCCGTTGGCGCGGGTCCCCGTGCCAGCACCTCTGCAGGAGGCGCAGCAGGTTACTGCAGGCGCGCGGCCTGGCTCTGCAGACGGGCGGCAGCTCGGGGCGGTGGCCCTTCACCACTTTCACCATTATGTGCAGGATGTTTTTCTCATCTGCAAAGGAAAGGCGCACAAGTCAGGGCAGCTCTGCGGGGCCGGGGGCTGGATTCCTTCTCTTCAGGAGGACACACAAATGTGGCAAAGCACCGGGACAAGCCTCTGGGGTGCAGCCCCCACTCCCCACATGCCGTGGCCGGGGCACCACCAGACTTCCTTTTCAAAGCACTGAGCTTTCATGAAGCCTTATCTTCACAGGGTACATCTGCTCCCGACCTTCCAGGTTTTAGAAACCACCTATGAGCCATCAAACGGGATCTGTGTGTTATACTATATCACACAGCACATCTTTCTGGGCATTGGACTCAAAGGAAAAGCGAGTTCAAAGGAGAAAAACATCTGATGAGACATGTTCCAAAGCGGCCTGTGCCCGCCAAAGAGAGGCAAATGTATAAATCCTGGAATCACACCACCCAGCCCCCATGTGCACCCAAATCTCCCTCCGATGACAAAAATCTTCCTGAAATCCAGTTCCTGCTCCAAAGCACAGGCCCCCACTGGCCTCTACAGCGGGCCGGCCAGGACTCCGGCCTCCTCCCCAAAATTCATGATGTGGGGCCCTGCCTGTCTGTCCTCCTTATCATATCACCATCCTGGTCACAGACGGAGGGGCCCCGATTCTTCCCTCTGCTCTGCCTGAAGCCACAGTGCCCACCAAGCTGGCCTCCAAGCGTCTTGTTCCCACCAGCCCTCCCCACCCCTACAGTTCCCAGCACGCCCACGGCCAGGAGCTCCGCAGTCTGGAGGCAGCGGATGCACCTCAGCAGGTGTGGGAAATTGGCCCAAAGTCACCGACAGCTGCCAGGACTGCACTCTGATGTTTTGTTGCACTTTCCCGTTAAATCTTGTGCAACAACTCTCTTAGGTATCTACACATTATTTCCATGAGAACTCACACTTCCAAAAACCCCAGCAGGCCTTCTAGATAAAATAAAAGTAAACTGAACCACCTGGATGACTTTTTACTGCCAAATGTGGATGGAACAGCTCACAAGACGCCCTGTGCTCCTGCGCCTTGAGCTGCCCTATCTACCTACCAAGCGATGGAGCATGTGGGCCTCCGCTCCTATGAGCACCTGGCCCTGGGTGTCGCGTCCATCAGATAATTTCACGGCCGACTGGCACGCTAACACAATCCAGACCGTGGAGCTCCATGGAGGAGGGGGAATGAGGGAGACCAGGTGATGGAAAGACATATGGACAGGACCCTACATCGGTCTCTACTGCAGGGACTCGCAGACCTGGGGCCACAAGCTGACTCCGACTTGCATTTTTAGGTAGTTTTAGTCAGGCCTCAAAATACTGTGAGTAGCCCGCAGATGCCTACAGAGGAAAAGAAACTCATTGTCCAATGAAGCAAAAAGGTACTTGACTTTCACACTAAGTTCTAGTACCAAGTCAAGGTACAAAGCTCTGAGGACAGAGGCCAGCATCGTGGCTGGAAGAAACACAGCTCGAGAGTGAGCAGTGGTGACCCGGGTGTATCCACTCGTATCAAAACCCACTCACCGATTCTGGACTTGGTCGCCCAACACTGTGAGTGTGCTTCACACGACTGAACTGTACACTTAGAAATGCTTACGATGGTGATTTTATGTGTATTTTATCAAAACTAAAAATGAGAAAATTACCAAAAAGAAAAAGAACCAGTTGGAAACAACCACAACAGGCAAACTCGGAGGCAGAAAGTGGATTAGCAGTTGGTGGGGGATGGAAAATGACCACAGTTGGCACGGGGTTTCCTTTCCAGGAGAACCTTCTGGAAACAGATAGTGGTGGTGATCGTACAGCACTGTGAGTGGTCTTAATGCCACTGAACTGTGCACTTTAAATGGTTAAAATGATAAATTTTATGTTATGTGTATTATATCACAGACACACACAAAAAATTAGCTGACACCTTAAAAAAATCCCCAGTGACCGGAGCCCCTCAGATCTGTGCCTTCTCCCGGACGTGAATCACACCGCAGGGGCGCTTTGTGGGTACAGAGGCCCACTGGTGATGCGGCGGGCCATGGGTCTCCCGGGCAGGATGGAGCAACCCCCGTCCCCCGTGGGAGTGTGGGGTACAGGCACTACTTAAGCAGAGAAAGGACCATGAAGAGTGACCCCCATGTTCCAGGCACCACCTCCAAGAGACGCGTCCACTCACCTGCAAATGGCTTCTTTTGTGTCAGCACGCCCCAGATCACGATGGCAAAGCTGGAAGGAAACCAGGCAAACTCAGTGGGCATGAGCCAGACCCTCCGATAAAGCCCAAAGCGTTCACACACAGCAACACGCTTGAAGCCCCCCACCCAGCTGTCATACCGGGGGGAGAGACAACACAAGATCCTTCTCAAGAAGTTTTTTAAACACACAAACACTTATTGTGGAACACGTCACCAACATTGATAGCTCAGATGTTAAACAATGGACGAAACCCTGCCAACTGAGCTGTGAGTTCCAACAGCACAAGGGAGCCCCTGAAAGGGGGGCCACAGTCAGCTCGTGGGCAGAGGAGCCCACGCCGGCTGAATTTGCCGCTATCTTCCTGCAAGCACTGGGCATCACACGCTGATGGCAGCGCTGGGCGTTGGGGGGACTTGCCCACCGAGAGTCCGTCAGAGAGCCGGACAGAGCCCGGAGAACATGCCGGCAATCCAGCCGAGCTTCCCGGAGCCCGTTTCTGGCTGCTGGGCATTACATATATGTAATATTTAAAATTGCTCTGGATACACCAAACAAAGAGCTCAATCTGATGGATTTTTTTAAAAACAAAACCAGGAGTCCAAATGTTGAGCCAACACCCTGCAGTGGCTATTTACAGAGGCCCAAGAACTCTCCAATGAAAAATAATTGTAATCTGCAAGTTCAAACGTTCAGACTCTCCACTCCAAAATAAACAGAGAATCCTATTCTCCCCAAACTCTACAAGCTGTGACTAGCACCCCTCGCTAAGCACATGCACAATGGTTATTGTCAAACCAGTCAGCCTGGCGGTGGCAGTGACACACGGTCAAGCTCCAGTGCTGGGAGGGAGGGTCACCGTCACTGCGCGAGACCAGAGCCACACGAGGGGCCTCAGAGCGTGTGCTCGCCCTCCCGCCCTCTCTTCTTCCCCAAGAAGTCTGTGATGGAGACCTTTACAATTGAGAAAAGGCAGGCACCCCAGGACTGGGGACTGTCCTCTACTACATAAATCCCACTGACTCTCTGTCAAAGATAAGGGACATGAGGAGGTGTGAGCTGCTGGGCCACAGGGGACTGGACACGGACACACAGACCACTGACAGCAGCAGCCTCTCGGCAGACAAGCTAAAAAACTCACGTTCTATTAAAAACGCCGAAGCTTTTCCAGTGTGGAGGCTGTCGGTCTGATTACATAACTGGCCCTAATGGCACCAGCCATTCAGATCGTCCACCCTTTGTGGGCAGCTCTCACAGGAGATAACTGTGTCCTCGGTACCTGGGGCAGCCAGGACACCTGGGGCGGCCCCTACCCACTGGCTGAAAACCTTACACCCTTTCATTTGGACGGAACCTCCTATCTGATGATTGCAGAAGCCTCTGGGAAAAGTGCCTGTCAGAGCATGAAGACTCGGGGCGCAGGCCCTGGGGGCTGCACACCTGTACACACCTGTACACATCATGCTTGGTGTCGAAGAGCCGGCTCTTCTCTCGGATGCGCTCTGGAGGGAGGTAGGCGATGGTGCCGAACAGGCCGTCCATGCTGAGGTCGTGTGAGTGGGACAGCCCGTGGCACTTGGCCAGCCCGAAGTCGGAAATCTGTAACACAACAGTTGGAGGGAGGCTCAGCGAGCTTCCCGGGGGGGCGCATACGGAGCGTGGCATCAGAGCTGCCACGGCAGACGCCTGGTCAACATCCCTCCCCTGCAACCTTGGCCGGTGCAGCCCATGACATGGTGGGACAGGCACATTCAGGAACCACACCTGAGAGCTGTGACCTGTGCTCCCCTGGGTAGGTGGGTACGTGGCCCAGGAGGTGCCAGGTCTGAGCCATGAAGAACGTGAGGGATGGTGGGACCGTGGAGGGGAAGGGAAGATTATACTTCGGGGAGGAACGCGCCATGAGTGAGAGCTCCAGAACGATCGTCATCGTGTCTGCCCCTGTGGCCACCAGCCGCGTCAGCGCAAGGGGAAAAAGCAATGCCTGGAGTTTCCGGGCTGGCCGACGCCACGTGAGAAGCGAGGCCTGCCAGGCCCGGTGCTACGGCAATCCAGTTATGCAACCGTGCCAGCTGGGCAGGCGGGCGAGTGGCAGCAAGTCCTTTAAAGGGAGCTGCACCTTTTGAAGCCCTTTAAAGTGAGCAAAACACAACGCCATGCAGCCTCGTCTCCACCTGGAACGTTCTGTGATCAGCAGACGCTTGCCGCCTCCTGTACCCAGTACATGACACCCAAATAAAGGTCCGATACACATCTCTACCCACGCGGTCTGCCAGCCTGGGTAGCACCGGGACCCCAGCCACTCAGGGCTCCCCGTGGACCCCCGCCTCAGTCTCCTTTGGGCAAAGGAGTCCTGACAGCTCACGGACACCCACAGTGGGGGAAGTGAAGTCACACAGACTCCTGGGAAGTGGAGGCACCAGCTGCCCTCGAGCCCCCGACCTGGAAGCCACCAAAGCACTGTGTGTGGGACCAGGCCACGCGCGCTGGCATTAAGGGCTCAGGATCCGCAAGGAAAACGGCCCCTTTGTCTTCTCCTTCAAGGTGCATGGATTCCTTTAAACCTCCTAACTAATTCCAGGCTCCTCCTCAAACACACCTACGGAGCGATGGGAAACGGGGCTGACTCAGGCCTTAGCTCTGGGCGCTCCATGCCAGCTCACAAGATGAGCCAATGGCCTGGCGTCATCGTCGCTGAGGGCGGGGAGAAGTTATGCCTGGACACTCAGTCCTCCAAGGGATCTCTGACCACATCTGTGGGGAGGTGACGGGAAGCAAGTCTGCAGGAATGGACCTGGCCCTCCGTTTCTGCGGTCAGGCTGGGCCAGGACAGGCGTGGGTCCACAGGAGAGGCCAACCTGGCCATTTCTGGGCTCCTGGCAGCTGTCTGTTCCCTGGCCTTCAAGCAACTCCCCACTCTAGAAAGGAAAGCGCCAGTTCCCAGAATAAAGCCATCATGTCGACCCTGCAAACCCACAAAGCAGCTCACGGGCACGTGGGCACCCTGGCACCCAGTACCCCTAACTCGTTGGCAGCCTTTTCTCTTAATTTCTGTGGTTTTCAGACATAGCCAGTTGCCTCAAAATGGACTTGGTGGAAGAAAATAAACATAAATTCTATGTAAAGGCTCTAGCATCAATATGCAAACTCAGAAACCAGGGCGGTCTATTGGCTGCTGACCTCCCACCCACAGGGTTTTCCTCCCTGTGCTGCCCAGGGCCTGCCTCCCGGCTCTGCCCCTCGACAGTGACAGTGGGCACTCTGTGCACAGCAAACAAAGGAGACTCAGGAAGGGCAGGTCAGTGCTGTACCGCGTTAGAGGCAGGTCACTGTGGACCACGGGAGAACAGGACCCTCAGCCCCCCTCCAAATGCAGTCTCGTCTGGGCAAACTGGGCCACAGTGAGCCTGAGGTTTTCAGCTACACTATTTCCTCTTCAACTTGAAATGGGTCTGCTATTGCTACATTAAAATTAGTATTTCAACACTGCTACTTAGCCTATTTAATATATATGTTAAGTATTACTTTAATATTAAGCGTCTTTAATACTTTGCAAAGTAGCCGCT